ATTTTTTACTTGCCAGTGGATCAAAGGACGGTCACATGGCTTGGTTGGATATTTCTATAGGCAAGCTAATTGCTCGTTACAATTCCAATTTGGGCAGAATATCTGTAAGTTTTATAAAAGACTGCATTTATTTTTGATTGTTTATGTTGTATCTTAGATATTGCTTACAATCATTAATTTATGATAGGTGATGACGCAAAATCCAAGTAACGCGGTGCTATGCGTGGGTAATTCGAAAGGAGTAGTGTCTATGTGGTCTCCAAACTCTCATAAACCATTGGCAAAAATGCTTTGCCATCATCAATCAATTATGACGTGCACTGTTCATCCATATGGGACTTACATGGCAACTAGTTCTCTAGATAAATCTGTGAAGATATGGGATATTAGACAGTTAGCAGGACCAGTGAGTCACTTGTACCTTCGTTCACCCGCTCATCGTATGTCTTACAGTCAGCGCGGTTTGCTCGCACTTGGAATGGGCAATGTAGTTGAAGTTTATAGGTAATTTATTGACATAAAATAAGTGCTACACCACCGAGGAATTTTTATCATCTGTATTTATTTTTATATTAGAGAAACCTCTGGTGACTTCAAGCCATATTTACGACATAGAACTGCTCGCAATGTGAACTGTGTAAAGTTTTGTCCCTATGAAGATTTCTTGGGAATTTCAACAGCTAATGAGTTTTCGTCACTTCTGGTGCCAGGAAGTGCGGAAGCAAACTACGATGCGCATGAAGTTAATCCATTCCAAACTAAAGTTCAAAGACGAGAGACGGAAGTGAAAGCACTTCTAGAAAAGATACAACCTGAATTAATTACGTTAGATTCGACTGAAATACTTGAAGTCGATGTACCTACGTACAAAGAAAAAGTGGAAGCGAAGAAAAAGCTTTTGGTAATTAAGAGACGAAAATATTTTAAATCCAGATTATTTTGCATGATTTGACATTCGACATTTTTAACAATATTTTTTTTTTTAGTATGTTAAGCCAAAACCAATAAACTTTGAATCTCGACAAACAAAAGCTAAGGGAAAAGGTGGCACTGCGAAAATAATTAAAACTAAAAAAATATTAAAAGACGTAAATCGTCGGGTAAGCATTGTGTATATTCTAAACTAATTATTTTTGATACTTATAAATTGTGGACGTTCAACGATATAAATTATTATTTTTAGGAAATGATTGAGGCGCTTCGTGAAGAACAGAAGGAAACAGTAACGAAAAAGACAGAGAATCAAAATAAAGATTATGGTGTATTAAATAGATTTGTTTCGAAAAAATAGAATAGTATAATAATAGAATTCATAATTATGTATATGTAATTATTATACATTTTAAATTATTATATATTTTAATATTTATGAAAGTTACAATGATTTTTTAAAAATAAAATTTGAATATCAGATTCTCGTTAAAAAATTATTGAAAGAAGTTAACCAGATAAATTTTAAAACATTTTATATGGAAACTTTCTGTGTGTATTGAGTAATAACAAATTAATATTTTTTTTTGCTTTTATAAAAAGTAATCGGATTAATAAAAGGATTTAAAAAATATATATTTCTTGAAATTAAATTGTATTTTTCAATATTAAAATTATTATAAAAGTATTTAAATTTCTCTTTATTATAAACGTACATATATGTATAACTACAATTTTTTATGTTTCCAATAAAAAAGTAGTAAATAAATTTTTATTACTTCTGTGAAGCTTTGAAAGTAAAATACAATAATTAAGTACTTATTGTAAAAAACATTTATTGAATACATTTTAGCCGATTAAAGAATATGCATTAAAAAATATCAAAATGTAAAAAGATTAAAATTAAAAATTTTTAATAAATTGATCTCAAAACATTTACGATCTATTTTTACAGTAATATATTATTTTTAATTTGTTTGAATTTTTAATAAATTTTCTTTAGATAAAGAATACATTTTTTCAGGAGGTATACATATATCTACTGCCTGCTTGTTTTTATCATTTCTAGAGATTAATTTTTGTAAGGAGTGAATTAAAACTGAGTAATTAAATTTATTAAATAATAAGTAACTTGACTTCGATAAATAATGAGATAAATCATTTATTGAAATTTTATATTTTTTTATTGCATGTTTAATATTAATTATTCTGATACATATCTACAAAATAGATATGCAATTTATTTCACAATCTGCGCAAAATTTCTGGAAGTATTTTTAGTATAATTTGTACAAAATTCTTTTCCAAAGAATCTCAAAAAAGTTTCTATATATAGTACACATTC